CAGAGGCAGGAAGAGGACTCAGAACTAACAGCTTCTCTCTTGCAGTTAATGTTCCTGTTCCAGCCTGACTTCTCAACTCTTTATTATGTAGTTAGTAGACAGCAAAAAAAAAAATTAATTTATTAACTCTCTTATATTTAGAAAGAAAATATCAATACTATAATGTTTTCCACACTTTCTTCAGGAGACAAAGCTTTTTTAAACAGAGAGGATCTCCTCCTTTCTCCTTCAATCTTTTAATAGTAATTAGACATCTGCTGTTTTGAGAAGAGCCATGAGCTATTCCCCTCTTTGTTTGTGTCCTGTGGTGCTGTAAACTCCTCCACAAAGTCTGTTGGCTTGGATAGCTCAAGTGGCTGTATTCCTAGACCCCGTTGTTTTGGCTGGCATAGTTCTTGTCCATTGAATATATACTTATCTAGCAAGTAATTTACCCTTTCAACTCGGACTTATACTAAATTACAGAAATGAATTACAGATGTATTTTGGTTTTCCCTAGGGCTTTCTCCACCCCTCTAAGCTGTGCACTTCACATTCAAGCTGTGCATTTCACGTTCAGGCCTCTCTCCCCCTTTTTTTTTAATAAAAGCTATTTCATATGGATTCTCTACTAGATTAATCAGTTGCCTTTTTGCTCTTCTTGCAGTAACCCTGTTGCAGAAGGAAGCCAGATGGACCTGTGCTGGCACTTGAATTGCTTATAGCAAAATCTGCCATTTGTTATCTCAGTAGCAGTTTAATAGCAGGAGTTTTGAAAACTTTCCTGCTTTCCCCAGGACACAACAGTCAGCTTGACTAGTGCCATTCGTTGTGAGGGGCAAAGGAGAGGTGTGTGCTGTGTGTTTGCTCCAATCGAGAGAGCAGCTCCGTCTGGATAGTGTGTGAAAAGGGGAGAAAGGAGTTCACCGTTGAGATGAACGTAGCACACTGAACTGAGCTTGCTCTCCAAAGACTGAGAAGAGACTTTTATTGCTCATCAAGCAGTAAATTCCTGGAGAGAGAGCCTGATGTAGTAACATAGGCAGCCAAAGCACCCAAGTGGGAGCTGGCAGTGGGAGGTTTAACCCAGACAAGCCTGTGGGACCAGCTTCACTTGCAGAATTTAAGAGGAAGGCAGCAGCTGTTTGACATGATAATGAACAGGGCAAAACAAATCTTTAGGACAGTCAGATTCAATTCACTGTTTCAAAAAGCAGTTTGGGTCTCTAAAATGCCCCAAGGCAGGATTCTTTCAGAAGGCCTTTCACCCAGAACAGCCACACTGTCTTTAAACTGTCTCTGTTTCTGTCTGAAACAGAGTTATCCGAACTTCCATCAGCTTCTGTTTTAACCTACTAAAACAAATTTTGCAGGAGAGAGTATAATTGTATAAAAGAAGAGCCCCATAGCAGTTCATATCCCATGCAAAGTCCACGGTATTCCACAATTTGTGACAGGGAGAACAGACCTCAATTACCTCTCTTCTGGAAAGGTGGCAAATACCTAAAACATGCTGTACCCTATTCATCAGCTTCATCTTTCCCAGGTCTAAGCTGCTTGTTTTTTCTATCTCCAGTCTTTGACCATTTCTAAATTTATTCTTTCTTCCCCTGCCCGTTCTCCAGTTCCTTTCGCTCGGATCTTCCGTTACGTTCCTCTATTTCTCTCTCCATTCTACCACTCTCTCCCACTAGCCAAGTCAAATACTGCCTGCTTCTTCAGTGTCTTTGATTCTCTTCTATTTCTTTGTAGATTCCCCTTCCCAAACCACACCATCCTGATGAATCCTAGTACATAATCAAATACAAAATGAATTCAGCTTAACAGGAGATTGCTGACAGGCTCAAAAACACTTTCTTGTTTATTTTTGTAGAAAATATTTTCATATATAGCTGATAAAAATGTGATGACTTGGCTAAATATAAACCAAGACCTGTTTACAACTGTTTGCCCACACCTTTTCCTGTCCAGTCCCCCTCTTTTATAAGCTGCTTTCATCGCTACTTAAGATACAGTTTTAGAAAGAGAAGAACAATGAATTCCTTTCACCCCATCCTGATCTGCTGCATGGGTGTGTTTGTTAGGATCATAAAAATCTTTCACAGATCAACTGCACCCACACATGCCTGGTCCTGAAATGTGCCACAGTGGCATGCAGCCGGAGAGGCAGAAAACTTGGAAAGGAAGGGGGATGCGAGTGATGACATGGAGGAAAAATTAGAGCATCAGTTTTCTAAATTCTAACACAGATCTGATGTACAATTTTAAGGATTCTCTTTTTTTATACTACATTGCAACTAGTATGCTTTGTTCCTCTGCAACTCTTTCAATTTTATTACTGTTTATACTAAAAATACTCAGTACTGTTTATACTAAAAACACTTTAATCCTATGCTGAAAGACCCACCGAAATGCTTTCTGATAAACAACATGGGAAAAAAATCCTGTACTTTTTGATTCTGGATAAAACATAATATTTTTTAATAAAGTGTAGTAGTGGAAATTTGATAGCACAATGCTTCTCTAATTCTTTATTTTAATACTGCCTGTCAAAAGGACACGTTAAGAATAACACAAGCTCTCTGCTAACCCTTACAAGCCCTTGTTCCAGACCCTTCTAAAATTGCATGTTAGAGCTGATAGACCAAATCTGGGTAAACCTAATGTTATTAATCGCAGCTGCTAACAATCATCCTTGTTTATACAGCTCAAGAGATGGCAGCAGATTTAAGAACTGACTTTGCAAATACTCTGATGTGCTGATCATATCAGTTGAGGGAGAAGGATTTCTCAAGGGAAAGTGCTGCTTTTGCAGGCTTTGAAGCAGAAGATGAACGTGTCATATCAGACTTCTGAAGCTTAAAGGTAAGGGTAGCTCTTAGATGGTCATGTGCTTTTCTTTATGACCAGACAAATTAATTATTGCTTTATGAGTTTTCATAAACAAGTGCGGTAGCTAAGCTAGATTCAGGGGTGGCTGTGTTAAGATCAAGTTGCTGCCCTTTTTCTAGCATAAAGGTTCCCTATCTGTTCTGCCAGTTATATAAAACCTGAGTAAACTGAGCTCCCATAAGGAAATAGTTTGAGGTTCACCTTCCAGCCATGCAGTAGAAAACCTGCACAGGCCTGTAACTGCAGTTATTCTGAGCTGCTGAACTCTCCATGTGAGGCTTTCTGTCAATAAAACTCAGGAGAATCTGTGTCTAGCCTTCCCCTTATCTTACTCTGTGCAATATGAAAGGGGTCTTGTTATAGATTGCGCTCTCTGCATTCTCTTCACATGTTTTTCTTCCCAGAGCCAAGCTTTACCTTTAAAGAAATGCAAACAGTTTTAAGAGCTTTGTATGAACTCTTTTGGTTTAGTTAAAACTGTATTGTATCCCACTAACTTCTCAGTAATCCCTAAATATTCTCGTTAGCAGCTGTTCTGGGCTGCACTGCTGACGCCTCAGCCCTTGTAAAGTCTTTGTGATTAAGTTAATCCTGATTTATTCTCTGCAACAATTTTTTTGAAACAAAATCTTTTCTTTATCAGATGTTCTTGCTCTCTTCTAACTGTGTTCAGTTGTGGGAAAAACTGGCATCCAGTTGGTTTCCATGACAGCAGCCAAGGTAAAACCAGACAGGCTATTTCAAAGGTCACTTGTTGAAAGACTGTGATGGGGAAAGGTTGAGCTGGCAATGTGGTTATGGGAGAGTGAAGATGAGAGAATCGCAAGAAGCGGAGGTTAGCATAACGGAGGGGAAAAGCCGTGCGGGAGTACCCGAGAGCATGGGAGGCTGTAAATCTGCATTAGTTAGCAATGAGAGGGGCTACTAAGTGGTCTTAGATCATGTTACTGATATCATGATAGTATAAACTCTTGCAACAAGTGCTGTAAGCCAAAAATAAAACAGGACATTAATGTAAGTAAGTCAAAACAGTAATATTAACAATGCCCAAATGACTTTTGCTTGTTCTCCTCTAGTATCTTGCAGGCTTTTCATCTGGGTATCTAAGCATCTACCAATATCCTCTGTAGATAAGTGAATGTTTGAGTGTAAACAATATTTTCCTGTAATACTGTACTAAGCCTGCTGCAGTTCTCTAACTTCCAGTATTTCAATGTATAAACAAATCCTGCTAGAGGAGATGCTGGTTAGTTAAGTGTACCAATTCCCTGCTTTAAAAAAGCTGCAGCAACAAACAGGTTGGTTGGTTGTCTTGATCCCGGTAACTGTGTACATAGTTAAGTATTTTCCTTTCAAGCCAGGAGCTGTAAAGGAATTGGGAGCTAATGACACCCACATGGTTTGGTTGCCAGTACAATTTATTGGAAGAGTTTTTGATTCCTAATCACTCTAGAAAATTGCTTCTGCTTATCCATCTTTAGACAAATGCTTTAAAATGTTAATTCTAAAGCCAGGTATACTATAAAAATCTCAGAAATGGGTGCATTACAATTTCTTTCTTTCTTGGCAACTGTAAATATTAGCTTACAAAAGATATTTAAAACACTACAACCCAGGAAGTAAAATATTACAGGCAAGTTGAGAATTCCACATTAATTATGCTGAATAACCACACAGACCTTATGGATAATTCATTGCATAGTTTTACATTCAAATAATTAGTACATGATTACCAGAAGAAATTTCTACTTGATTGAATAGCTTCAGCACTCTGAAGCACTTTTACCTGCAAAGGAAGTAGAATGTTCCAATTACAAGAACTCCTAGAAGAACAACTGAAGCCAAGAAAACTGCAAACAGGTCCCCTTTTGTTTGGGATTTGATGCTGGGCAGCAAAACTTCCTCACAACGGGCTCCTGTGTAATTCTCAATACACCTGGGAAACCAAGGTTTATATGGATTAGAGTCTACCTTGTCATCTAATACAAAAAGCATAAGGCTCCTTTTGGTTTTAAGTGGGGAGAGCAGAACTTCTTGTGATGACATAATTCAAATTTGTATTTGCAATAAGATTTCTTATGGATTTTCCACTTGGATCATATTTCTGGAGCAAAGAGTAGGGCATGTTCCTATTTCATTTTATATTCTGGGCCATGCTTTTATATGTTAAACTCTCTCTCTTTAATATAGTCTCTGGATTAGCAATGTACATGGTATACTTCACAATTAAATCTGTCTCCTCCACAGGATTTTTGATTTTAATGTTAGGTGCCTCGTCTCACTGGCTCTCATCGCAGACACGGCAGTCACGCTTTCTTTTCCTGCTTCCCTGTAGCTTTTTACCTTTCTTCATTAAGAGCTTGTACTGTCAGTTATAGTAGATCAAGGAAATGGGAATTTACTGACACACGGTGCACATAAAACACTTTACAGATTGCAAAGGTAATACTTATGATGGTAGCTTATGCAGTGAAATAACTCATTCCAAAGCATCTCATGTGCTGCTGAAAGGCCTTGTCCAGACAGACCTAACTAAAAGGCTTCCCTGCTCTGCCCATCTTAGGTATGAACCTTCTGAAAGCTTCTCCTGAAGCAAAGATTCACACTATACTGCAAGATGTGGAGGAAGCAAAAGTTCCCTCTGCAAACGCTGCTTCTGCTCCAAGTTCTGTATTCCCATCTCCTAAGTAGATTTAAAGCAGCAGTTTGTTCTTGGGCCCGGCTCTCTGGGGATAGGCGCAGATCATGGACTTTTCTTTCCTATGCACACAGGCATTTGTTGCGTATTTTATCATGATAGGCAGTAATACCATTTAATACCGATATTCTCTTAAAAGTCGAAGTTCCACATTAAAAGTACTCTGCTTTGTTGAGTCAAGGAACAAACTGTTTAGATACTAATCAAAGTATCGGTGTTCTCCTCGGGGCTAGTATCTTGGATAAAATATGGGCTATAAGAAGTGGAAAAGTTTAGAAATATCTTTCTCATTTTCTGTTAATTGTTGTACTATTGCGTAAGTACTCTGTGTTTTATTTCTATTGCATATGTTCAATTGAAGCACATTCATGAAAGGAATAGAATTTGGATTCTTCAGCATAGCTATCTGGTGGTGATGCTCTTATCATGGTGTGGCTAAATTATACTAGCCAGTCAATATGTTTGCCTTTGAACTGAATGTAGTCTTGTGAAGGGAGAACTGAATTTTTGAATTATGCAAGTAATTCCTCAGTAATACATTACAAAAAACTTTGACTATAGAAATGTCCAAGACTTAAAATTCATCTTAGACTTGCTAATTATCTCCTACACATTTCTGTTCATTTGAATTATGATTCATTTTAATGTTCCATTCATAAGGAACCGGTGTAAAATCTCAACTATGACAACTTTCTCCCTCTAGGTGAGGGAGAAAAAGCCCAAATCCTGCTTTCTATGAGGCCAGTAATTCAAATGATACCAATATATATCCTGCAAACATGTCAATGAAACTTGAGACTTGCTCTTTGCATTATACTTCAATATAGAGTCAGTTTAGACTCAGGGCTGGATTTATCCCTAAAGTGGAGGGGACTGGGATTTCTCCTAGTTGCATAGGGTGTCTATGGGATGGTAGTCCAAGGCTTACCTTGCTATGTATCCTACACTGTACTCTGGGGACCTAGACCTGAATTCATCGCAATAAATGTGGGCTTTACTATAAAAATAAATAAAATGAATAATTTACTCAGTAATTCATATTGAATCAAATACATGTAGGTAGAAGCTAAACTAATAACTCGTTTTACATTTTTCACTTGTTCTGCTAAGTTATTTTAAGGAATTCGCTACATCACAGAAAATGGAGAATTTCATCCAACCACTGCATTTCCCATGTATCTTTATGTAGGTAAATTTGTTTCCATCTATTTGGATTAGTAAGGATCTTGCTATTTCTGGCACTAGAGTCATGATAGCCTGTGACATAAGGAATTTCAAGCTCCAGCTGAGGCCAATGGGCTGAGATCTGTAATACAAAGTTCTCAACTGCTCTTGGCAGCTGCAAGGTCCTGTTTCAGACTGGGAACAATAAGCACATGGGAAGGAGCTGTTAAAGGAAAGATCTGCCGCTTAGCTAAGCCAGACCACCTGGGGGCATCCTATCATGCCTGCTCCATGTGGCTCCCAGAACCACCTTGTGTAGCTTGTGGATTATTGTATCCATACCACAGAGAATTATTGCCATTTCTGGTAATTCCCTGCCTCCGAAAATAAACTTTGGATTTTTTTTTTTAATGTGGATATCATAATGACCACACGTTAAAGCCATGTTGCTGATCAAGCACCCACTTCTTATTTAGCACAACATGAGACTTCTCAAAGCTGCTCCATCTGACTGCTGGGAGAAGGGAGGGTAGGCAGACAGTTCTTTGATTGCTTGAGATAATGTTCCAGATATTAACTGTAAGTGTAGTGGCATTTCAGTGGCCTCTGTCTGAAATACTTGTAGACTATTTTTAAGAATAGAAATGTAGTCTGAGTGGCGCATTGTTCTCAAGCAAGTGAGAGAAAAATGCTTGACAGAGCTGCATAGAAAAGCAGGAAGAGAAAATGGAATATAAAATTCATACAAGTATTCTTGAATACCAATGAAAATGGCAGAATGAGAGGGTAAAGTGATAGGAGAAGTAAGAAATAAATAGGTTTTGGCATCAAACTAAAGCTTATGGAAAAGTTCTAAAGAATGAGGGTGGGGAGAAGGAAGTCGGTGGACTAAAGGACAAGTGAAGCAGTGGGAGAAAGGGACAGCTTTCCTAACAAGAGCTGCATTGAGGTTAAAAAGCTAGGGTTAGAGAACTACTGTGATACTGTAGGGTGAGCTGTCATGGAAGCAGTATTTCTGTTCTGTTATAGACCATGAAAAAATTGAGAAGGTGGTCAACAGTAAAGTTAAAAAGGTCACAGCAGCTTTCCTAGAAACAGGAAAACTGAGGTCAGGCATCCCTTAGTTGCATTTACCTTCTATAAACAAAGTTATGGCCAAAGAATGTGATTCTAGAATTAGGCTCTCCTATTGTACAGTCAGAGCAATCCTGAAAACAGGTGACTTTGTGCCAGTTTTTACAAAGTCACCAATGCAGATGTTTAAAACAGGAGAAGGGATATACTAACTGTATAAAGGCAATAAATGTCTTCAGGGAGTCAACAGAGGGAAAGATTTCTGCTGAAGTGCTTTACTGAAGTTGGTAAGAAATTAGATAAACTTTAAAAATAAACAGGAGGCCTCAACCAAAAGATTTTGTCCTTTCGCATCAGCAGAGTTGTAGTAATTTCAGTGGAGTCACATACACCGTGACGGGGGCAAGGCAGAAAAGCAGCCTCATATAAGCATAGCCTCCGTAGGGGAACATGATCAGACTGTCTGTCTGGTGTCTCCTAGAGGTACTGAGGCTTCCTCTTAAAGGCTTTAAAAGTTGATAGCAACTCACACCTGTAACATACCCTATTTAGCAGATGCCTAAATGTGGAGCATAGCTTAGGCATGGCGTGGTCCAAGTTGTCCAGTATGACAGACAAATGTGCCTCTGTGCTTTAAATGGATGTCTGCAAAAGGCAGCGAAGCCTGTTTCTAAGCTCTATTTAAAGAGAGAATTATTCTAATAAGTGTGTGGTCACTAGGCCGGGTGTTGCTCTTGCACACGCTGTTTCAGCACATGCTGTCTGCTGACTTCAAATAATCTCAACATGTGGCATTGCAAAGTTGGCGGAGAAGGGGCTCTTTCCCCTTCTGAGAAATTAGCATTTCTAATTCCATCAGAGCTGGCAGACGACAGGTTTCTAAGGTTTGAGTAAAGCTGTGAGGCTGCAAGCCCTCGTTTCGGATGGCGTCCAGACTTCTGCTCTTCTGCACACATGCAGACACGTGTGTGTGGGCATATACAGGAACTGTGTGTGTAAATACCTGCGTTCACATGAGGTGACCCTAAAACTCATGTGCCACAAAGTCATGGCAAGAGCCATGCTGTAGAGGAAACACTGATATAATGAATATATGTAAAGAAATCCGCAGTATCATTCAACTTAGGGAGTTATGTCAAGATCAATACAAGGTGGAAGAAAATAAATGGCATCTGATATGATGCCACGGTATGACCAGACTGAAACTGTATTGATCCTCTATGGTCTGATCAGTAGCTAATACATAAGCATATTAGCTTGCCCACCAATAAAACAAGGCATTACTGCAGTCTGTATGGACCCACAGTTTGAGACAGTGCAAATGATCCACTGCTTATCTGATTTGGGTAAGAAGAAAAGATTTTGTTTTCTTTCAGACTGAAGTGGTGCCACAAGAAAATATGATCTGATAGACTTCAAGATTGGAACTAGATTTGATTCAAATGTGCACATGAAGTCTTCTGTCTTAGTGTTATATAGTAAGAGATTTGTAGATTCTGAGTCAGGAAAAACCTGGATGCTTCTGGGTGGAAAAAGATGGCATGTAAAGACAAAATCTAGTCATGAAAAAAAGAAAAACCCTGAGCTTATCTGATTGCCACTTCAGCTCAGGTCACATGTCTGATAGCTTAACAATTGTCCTGATCTGCAGGGTGTAGAAGGCTCTTAAAGGCTGGCTGGCTGAATCCAGACATCCTGTAAACATGAAAAATTTTATCTAAGGTTTAAAATTTTTATCTAAGGTTTTAAATTTTTAAAAAGCAATGGCAGTTCTTATTGGAAACTTTAAGTGGCTTTTTAAGAAGTTTTGTGTCCAGATAACTTTCAAAACTGCTACTTTAAATTTGCATTCACATCCATAGTAAGCAAAATAAAACTCTTACTTGTGGTACTATTAGAGTGAAGTTGAGGGAATGGATTATTTTCACCCTAGAACTCCCTTAGCTCAGTATTTATAAGGCATGACTTACTGTAATATCTGGTAGTGCTGTTATTTGTCCTTGTAAGGCTCATAAATACCTCTCAAACACATAAATAGATAACATTGTACTTTCTATCTTTATGCCTCATTAAAACACAGCCATAAATATCAACCTTAAGATTTATTTTAGGTATGCATTCCTACTTCAGCTTTTGCCTTTCAAGCTTAGGCTAGAAGTGGCAAATACTAACTGGATGCTTTGTGTTTCCCAAGAGCCTAGGATATTGGACAAGCAGAGTTTCAGAGGTAGAGAAAGAGGAGCAGCCCACATGAAGGCTAAGCCCTGCACTAGCTACATGCATTGTGTGCATCTGGAAGACTTCCAGAGCATATTTATCTTTGGGAAAGCCATTTGAAAAAAGAGAAAGAAGGACCCATTGCAGAGAAACAGACAGACAAGGAATGAGGAGAGAGAGAGAGAAGGGATTTACGTAGGTTTTAGAGGATTAGTATAAGGAAGGGGGAAGAAAGACTAAATTACAGTAGTAGCAAAGTCAGGGGGAAGTAGAAATACCCTTTAACTGTGCATAGGAATTTCATGCAGAAGGTTTCTAAGTCTGGCAATCTTCCCCTGCAGTATGTAACCAAAATACAACATGAAGCCACTGCGCATTGCAGAATATCATCTCTTCCTCAAAATGAAGGGCCTTCACCATTAACTTCTGCATGTACCTGCCTCAGCAGGTGTGTTCATGTTTTCTACCTGTGCCAAGCTCTGGTGTCTACAGACTGAAAGGTCCTCTTCAGAAAACCAACTGTACAAACTAGCCAGAATGAAGCATTTCTGGAGTTCTGCAGCACAGAGGTAGTCTGTTTGACTTCCCTCACTGAAGAGACTGTTCAGCCGCTTTGGGTACACCGGCTGTATCAGCACCTCAGCAAATCTTGCCCAAGACAGGAGGACAACCTTCCTGAGATGCAGGCTCCTTAATACAGGGAAGGACCATCAGTACTGGTCAGAGGAAGGAAAGACATTGCTGTTCAGGGAATAATACAGTGGGTCCTGGCCATTCCTTCTTCTAGGTCTCCTAACAAGAAAGCCAGGCCCTGTCTGCCACTATTGCCCTGTCAATAAGGCCCTACAGGAAGCTAAGGAACCAGGTTGCCACATTCTCCCATTATTCCTTCAGCCCCTCTCTTGGGATCCTCTTACTTCTGTACCACAGAAGTAACAGCTTAGATCCTTTCTAATAGACACTGACTCAAATTCTGATTTTCTTTAGCTACTATGTGCTCAGGCTTCATTTGCATGTAGGTATAGTGGTTACCACTTGGCTTCTTGTTCTAATGCTGCTTTTTTTTAAATTAAATTTTCAACTTTATTTCTGGTTTCAAATTTAAGAAATCATCTAGCTTTATCCTCAACATCTATTTCTCAAGTTTTATATCAGTTTCTGTAACAGGCAACCTTAAAATAGGCTCATGGCTTGTAAAATCAGTGCTGACAGCACATTTTAGAATAAGCATTATCTGTGTTCAGCCTTGAAATGTTTTGTGCTCACAGAAAAACCACCCATATCTTCTCTGAAATACAGAAAGAAAACTCTCAAAAACCTGTCTTATATAAGATGAAAACGGAAAGATCAGAACTTCCCCCTCAGACAATGAAATCTTAACTTAATCAGCACTCCAGTAATTAATGATTATGAGACAGCTGTACATCAGATGCTGAGGCAAACATCTTTCAGCCGCATGTTTTATGATACACCTGAGGCAACAGATTCTACCTCTTTCTCTGATGTGCTGCATGTTTATCTGTCTAGTATGTTTGAACATTCCTGTATCCACCTTGGATGTGGTGCCAGGTGCACCTTCCGCTGCTGAGGACATTAACTCAGTATTAGAGCAGGAATAAGGGAAGATGGCAGCTGAGCAGCTTCATGATTTAACATCCCTCAGCTGTGTTTAAATTCCACTGAAAAGCTGATCTGGAGAAAGAGTCACCAATGACTCTGTTTCTACTAAATCTCTATCATATACCCAGTTCTGAAGGGTAAAAGTAACTGAAGTGTCCAAAAGTGAACAGTTGGCCCTTGATAGGGTAGCATGCTACAAAAAAAAAAAAAATCACAGAATGGTTAAGGTTGGAAGGGACCTCTAGAGATCATCTAGTCCAACCCCCTGCTCCAGCAGGGACACCCAGAGCACGTGGCACAGGGGGGCATCCAAGTGAGTTTGGAAGATCTCCAGAGAAGGAGACTCCACAGCCTCCCTGGGCAGCCTGTTCCAGGGCTCTGTCACCCTCACAGTAAAGAAGTTCATCCTCACATGGAGATGGGACTTCCTATGTTTCAACTTGTACTCATTATCCCTAAAGAATTATGCAATTTCTCTATTTCTTAAATTACATATAATGATGATGCATCAGCTACTCTGCACTGTGTTTAGCACAACACCTTTAAACATATGTTTTATATTTTAACAGCTTTATCCATCTATTTTTGTCCCATTTCACTGCTGTCATTCCAATGATTCAGCCTTTGATTCTAAAAGTCTGACCCAATTTTTCTGTTGGCTGGAGGTGATCATTTGAGCAACACTTGGAGGCTTTCAGTGCCATCCAGCAGTAACCTCTATTAAAAACTTCGAGTGAGTGTGTGGTGATGATGCCAGTTTTAAGGAAGTTTTAAAGCAGCAAATGTTTTTCTTAATTCTGCTGAATAATGATGCATTTTTTTTTCTGATGTTTCTATTCACATCACTGCTGATTACTAAGATATCTGTGGGTAAACAAAACCTTTCTCATCTATAATTAGCCTTCTTGTCTGACTGATTAAGGGACATGCTTAGAATGAGGACATTCTTAAATAGAATGCATCTATTTAAACCCATATAACTTCATGATCAAACATTAGGGACATAGGAAAAATACTTGATAATTTAAATGCTATAAGATT